AAAGATGTATTGGGGCCCTAAGCGCTCCTAATCTCCCTGTTAAGAAAATAAATAAACGATTACTTAGAGAGAGCCTAATCTTTAACAGTATGCTGAGAATTTCAAGCTTTTTAATTTTGTTTTTATCCTGAAAGATCCATGAACTCTTGATGCAGTATATTAATTATCAATCAACTTAAATTAGCCTATAATGCCACCCCAAGCACTTGTATGTGTACCGTTAAAAACTCCAAATGGACCTAAACTACTATTATGAAGTCTACCTATAAAATAGTAAACTTCTAAATTTATATAATTGGGATCACTGACTTGCATAAAAAAAATTAAATGGCTGAGATAATATAAGATGCACATCTATCAAAGTGTGTATCTTATATTATCCATCCTTTTTCCATCACGCCTATCCCTGCTGGGGTCACGAGGGGTGCTGGTGCCTATCTCCAGCTGTCTACGAGCGAAATGCGGGATCCATCCTGGACAGGTCACCAGTCCATCGCAGGACGACACAGAGACAAACAGGACAAACAAAAATTCACGCACACATATTTACACGGTCCATGTTTTTGGAGAGGATGCCGAAGTAAACTCACGCATGCTCAGGGAGAACATGCAAACTCTACTCACGGGCTGGGAATCGAACCCAGGACTTTCTTGCTACAAGGCAGCAGTGCTACCCACTGCTGCACTGAGCAGCAATCTTTTATCATCCATAAACCCGAATACTCAAAGCTGAAGGGCTTATGCATTTTTTGGCCATCTGAGATCTGCATCCCATTTATTTTCGCCCCAAATACTGTTTTGTGTTTAAAGAACTCACACCAGCAGCAAAAATAGATCAGTGATAATGTAGAAAATCATTTAAAGTCTAATTTCCTTAAAATTACAAAGGCATGCATTTATTTTTATTTTTTTTGGCAGCCCAACCTTAAAGGCTGCCAAAAATAGGCATTGTCATAGTTTTAACCCCATGATCTCACACATGCAAAACTCTAACCTGTAGCTCAGAATGCATGTGTGAATTAGTAGAAAATGTTAGCCTTTTAAAGTGTGATAGATGACTTCCTGGTTGTTGGTACAGTTCCTTCATAGCATGCAGATAAATCCATGTTTTGGAATGGGGGGTCAAGATATTTTAATAATTAAGTAATACAATTTTAATTTGTGTAGATCTTCTAAATTGTGCTTGTATTTAACATTACTATATTTTTACTTAAAAAAAAGAAATGTTTATTTAGCTTTACATTTTTATGGGAGGCATCTTCATGGAATGGGAGACACATTCCCACTCTGGGACAACTAACCATTCAGGCTGATTTAGTGAGGCCATCCAAGCAGGTTTTGGATAGTGTTAGGAAGCTGGAATACCTTGAAAAAACTCAACCATGCACAAGGAGAATATGCAAAGATTCTGCAGAAAAACAAGTGGAATCATTCTTTCTCATTGCATTGGTAACAACTGCAAAACTTTGTTGTCCATCAATGCAAATAGGATTCATGTTAAGTCTCACTAAAGTATGTTTCAAACTAATTAAATCATGAAAAAATTAAACTTTTGGGCTAATTGTCTCAAAATGTATTAGAAAAACTTCACTCCAAAGAACATTGTTAGACTACGATGGGGAAACCAAATCGTTTGTGAGTTTGAATTGGAAGGTCAGGTTGCAGGGTCCCAACATCGGTACGGAGGGTCAAAGGGCAACTAAGACCCTAGACACCTGTCAATTCACCCCTTTTATCATTGCAAATGTTTTGGTTGTTTGCCTCCGTTGTGTGTGAAAAGGAGTTCCTGAAACTCATTTTCTCTAATCTACCTATTGGCTGCTAAAAGGAGATGCGTTTACATGATTCAAACCACTACCCAGGAATACGCTCAGAGTTGTTTGGTTTTCGCATGAATCATGAACTCCCATATTTCATTAGAAATAATCACCCTTATATGGGATTCTGAGACAAAGTCAGTAAAAATATGGCACAAAGGAAATTATGATTTCATGATTATTTATCTCAAATTAAGCCAAATAATTAACAAACATCACAAATAAACTGATTTTTTATGCTTAAGAACAAAACATGTTATGGGAAATGTATTTAAACATGTCACCTGAAAAGCATAAATTATATCCTGGTCTATAATGAGATTAGATATGTATTTGAGTTCAAACTTAGTGGTATTTTATGGATTAATTTGAATTCAGTCCATCATGTTTGGAAATAATTGTCCAAAGTCTACCTTGTCTCTCGTCTGCCGAACATGATCTGTGGTACCAAACGCAGGAACAGAAATGATGCACAGAATTAGAAGCAATTTTTCCAGTTTTTTTTATTGACTTATTTAGCTAGTCACAGTTTTAAACTACTATACTACACACATTTACATAGAGCTGATAGCAAATCATGTCAAAGGTTTGAGATTACGCTGCACAAAATAAAAGATTTATTAGAATTATTCCACACATAACTTTGTTACCTGAGGAATATAATGAATAAAAATAACAAGAGTAGTCTAATATTCTTTGATTAAATACATCTATACATTAATGTGTATTCTTATTGAGCTTCAACTAGCATCTCCAACAAGAAAAATGGGATTGATGCACATTTTAAACAAAAACCCAGTCATCTATGGGACTAAACCCGTTTGTGTCATGATCTATTGATCTGGATTTTTGGTTCCGTTCAAGTTTAATCTGGTTTACTTTTCATTTAAACTTTGATTCAAGTCATTCTGTGTTTTCTAAGTCGCTAGTTTCATTTCCATATAGTGTCATCTAAGTTCTTTTAAGTTATATTTAAGCACCGTTGTATTTCCTGGTTACTCTTTGTCGCCCCCTTGTGCCTCCCTCCTTTCCCCCTAGCTCCCTTCTAGCTACTGCTGTCCACACCTGCTCCCAATCATTTGATCATTCCATTCACTGTTCTCTCTGCCATATATTCTCCTCCTCTGCAGTTACTATTTGCTGGATTCTCTTCATTCCCTCCTGAAGCTCTGCATTCCCCTTTGTTCTGGTTACTGTGTTTTCCTGGGTAGTTAATTCTGGATTTATGCTTCTATTGCCACCAGAACAAGAAACCACCTCAGCCTTCATCTCTGCATTTGGGTCTTCTTCAAACCTGCACCCAACTTGACAGTTTGGTTCATCTGTGATGGTTAAGCATTCTCGTGTCGTATATATCTGTTCTTATAGTTTAATGTGGTGTCACAATGTATAAATTACAACCCTTAATTACCAAAAGTTTTCAGTCTATCTAGCATTCAGGCTTCTCCCCAAAAATATGCAAGACTTGGCCACTTTTAAATTTGAAGAAATTAATAAAAAAACAGAATTGTTGCAATGAGAAAATAGAAATTACTTCATCCAATTCATCATTTTAATCAATGATGATCCAGTTTGATAAGTTCTGTTTTAAGCCCTTTCCTGTGAAATTTGCTTTTTGTGTGAGAAAGCAGCCATATTTGGTTTTATATTTCCTATTAGCAGTTTTTTTGGGGAAATAGGCTGCTTATCTTATCTGCAGATATAGCTTTAATTGTATATTAAAAAGCTAAACTAATGTTATTTGTTGTAACATGGAAAACAGCCACAAAACATCTTCTTGAAAGGGTTGCTTTTATCTGAAGCCAGGGCTCTTTCCAGCTTGAAGGTGCCCTCCTGAACGGTCACCTCCACGCTCTGGACGTTTTTCTCAATGTTTTCCACTCCTGCTCCCTGCTCCTCAACAAGCACAGCCACGTCCAAGAAGAGCTCTTGGATCCCCTCGATTCTCTTCTCCAGCTCCAGCAGCTCTCTGTGTCTGTTCTCAATGTTCATGAGGGCAGAGCTGGTGCTTTTCCCCCTTTCATGGATGCTGAAGACGCACACCTCCTCACCTTCTATTATCTCCTCCAGCTCCTTCTCGCTGACCTCCCTCCCCACCACGTCCATCTGCCTCTGGATGTGGCGTTTACAAGCCTCCCTGTGGCTCATCTCCACATCATTGTAGCTGAACATTACCTCCCGCAGAGCATTGCTCAGATAGTGGTACTGCGTTCGAGCTATGCGAGCCGTAGGGTCAGAGGAGCCGCGCTGGGCCTCCAGCTCACCTCGGAGACCGTTCATCATGTGCAACTGCTGCAGCACTGCTTCTCCTCTGCGCTTTATGTCCGCTCCGATTGCGTTGGAGTTCCTCTTATTGGCAGCAGGATAAGAAGTCTTGTTTAATGTCTGGTAGTTGACCTCCTTCAGCTCACTGATGTCATTCTGGATCTGCTGGATTTCCAGACGTATTCCCTGGGCCTCCTTCAGGATCCCATCTAGATCCGGGTTCGAGTCTGCTTCATGTTCTGGTAGGCCTGTCAGCTCCACAGTGCTGAAGCCTTCAGAATCAGTCTGGGCTTTATTCAGGTGTCCCAGTCTGTCTCTCATGGCTAAAAGAAACAAAGGAAAGGTTAGATCTGTTTATCTGGGAGGAACCACATGATAAACACAGCTGTGCTTCCTACAGAGACTTACAAAAACTTTACTATTTTGGTCATGGAATTAAAAACCTTATATTTTTCAAATATCTCTTGATTCACATCATGTCCCCACTGGTTGGAAAGTCTAGATGATTATCAATGTTAACAAAAGCAACTAAATGACCTTAGACCTGTTGCACTAACATCTGTTTATGAAACTTCCTGAAAAAAATGGTTAAAACTATTATTCTCAAGTATATGGAAGGGGGAAATGTTCTGCTGCAATATGCATACCGAGCTGTGAAAGATGAAAGAGGATACTAACCTTTTCATTTGCACTCGGAAGACCTCAAGCCCATGTTAGTCTTTTATTCGATTTATTGATTTTTCATCCACGTTTAATACTATACAACCACACTTCTCTATTCAGATGCTTTAAATACATTTAATCTGCTAGATTTTAGCAGTCTTTGTTAATAAACACCTGTCAGATGATGTTTCTTACACAAATTCTCGCAAAATGCAAAATGGTCGAGGGTATGAAAGATATTAGTAGCTGATGTTTTGCACGGTATCTAACTTCTGACAATTTTTTTCATAGCTGACGAAGAAATAAAACCATCTTTTATCAGCTAAATCTTCCACCGTATCTGTCTGAACTGATAGTAAACAGGAAGTGGACTCTAAAAACATTTTTTTTTTCTTTTTGACGCAGCTAAAGACTGATAGGAGGGCTGTGTGTGTTTGAGCTAATGGATTTGCATGCTGCAGATCTTTACTTCATACTATTCCACAGGGAGTTAGAGCAGCTGTGAAAAATGAAACTTTTGAAATACGTTTTATTTCATACTAAACAGGAAGTTTTTTAAACAAGCAAAACAGTATGTGAGCTTAGTCCTTGTCTAGGTCGGCTGGTCTGTTGTTTTAGACGTTAAATAGAGATCTGCAGCGCCTTCTGGAATACAAAAAGGTTAATCAAATACTACCTGCCTTTTATTAACAGGATTTTAGTGAAAAAGAAACATTCACAACATTTGAGATTTCTTTTCAGAGGCCTCACCTCAACAGCAATAAGAAAAATAGGTAAAAGAATCCAAGTGGTCTGAACAGATTTTTAGCAAAGCGACTACTGATTATCTTGATTCACCTCCTACTGTTGATCTCAAAAGATGCAGGTTTTGTTTATTTTTTGGAAAATATACATCCCTTGAAGTTTTCCACATTTAATCACAGTTTTAACATTTTAATTCATTTTTGGGGATTTTTTTATTAGAAAGATTAACTTTCTGTTCCTTGGGTCATAACTTCTGTCAAGTCAATAGAACTAGAGGGCCAGGTGTGTTTTTGTGTATTTTTTATTTTTTTACTTGCTTCAGAAAATATAATCATGTGATATTTTATCTAAATATTACATGCATCAATGTATTTAATCTGTCTGAATAAATGTAGGGTCTCCAAGATGCTGCCTTGGGACCGATTTTGTTTGGCACCCAACTAGAATTTGAGTCAATGTGTCTTTGAAAATGCTTGCTGTGTTTTAACTTTTTAATACACGGATTAAAAGCAGATTTTGGTGCAAAAAGTCAGCATTGGAGTAAAGTTTGTTGGATAGATATGGTGCTTTTTACTTACGAATAAAAAGATGAGCGCTGTGTATTTTACATAAAATGTTCACTCGTAGGACGTTATTTGAACTTCTTTGTGATTATCTCAATCTGGTTGCTTTAACTACCTGATCGGGGGGGCTTTTTCCACGGTGCAATTCATTTTAATTTTCTGTAGCAAAAGATTTTTGAATGACTTTTAGGATTTCTTACAAAGGAAAATCTAAAAAAAAAAGTTTGGCAAGCATTTGTAATCAGAAACCCAGCTTTAGAGTCACTTCTAAGAAAAAGGTGGTTTGGCATGACCCTGCCACTACCATGTTTAACTGTGGGGATACTGGAGGTAATGTGCAGAGTTTTATTTCTTCTGCAGTTGTGCATGTAAGCCAAAAAGGTTCTTCTTGGTTTAATCTGTGATCCATAAATATTTCCTTCTCTTCCCCGTTTTTCAAAGGAAAGCCAGATTTTTCTTTTTAAACCATGAAAAGTGAAGACCTTCTACACAACCTAATCCTATTTTAACCCTTCCTCAGTTAAATTACTGACCTACTCCCCAAAGTACTCTAAAATACCAAAGCTTAGAGTGGCAATCAGAAAAAGTACATTTTATTCCCACATACAGTACCTACAGCAGGTAAAGGTAAGCAGTGGGCAGCTTTTAAATACCACACCCTCTGCGTCTGCTATATCAATCCATCTTAGATGGATGTTCTTGATCCAGCAGGACATTTCTCAAGACTCACCAGACAAGTTCCACAGCAAAAAAAGGATAGACCAATAGGAACACAGCTTGTAATCACATCTGAAGGAAACCATCATACTTTAAATCAAACTATTTACAGTGAAAATAAACAGTAAATAGTCTAAGTCATGTTGGTTTCTTCCTCCATAAAAGATCAAATATTCCTTTCTTTCTGATGTTTTATTAATAGTGAGTTAAATAAATGTCCTCATGTTTAGGGCCTTCAATTTATTGCTGTATTAGAAGAAATCAGATGCAACCATAATGACAGAATATTTCATCCCTTACTTGAACCGATGTAAGTTTTCTGTCGATAACTTGCAGTTGTTTCCTTGTGCTCCCTTATTGATCCCGATCGTGTAAATAGGATTTAGTTCCAGCCAGTGCTGCGATGGCTCTGGCAGCTCGCGATGACTTCAGTAAAATGTTAACCATCATCACTGATACACCTGTCTTAGAGGAATGGCCCTTAGAAACAAAACTTTCTGCATTCCTCAGGTGTCACATGTAGAGACAGTAAAATGAAGCCCAGCCTCTCTAGGATTTTATCACAAACATGATTGACGTCGTGATAATCTACATTCTTCTCTTTAGCTGTCAGTACGTGAACTCTTCCAGGATGTACATTTCAGTTTTTGTTTTATTTGCAGGTTTCAACAGAGCTTGAATCTGGATCTAAAGGCGTTTTAGGAAAAGAAAACAGGAAGTATTATCTCCTCAAAAGATGTGACTTAAATGTTCAAACATAAGAAGTAATAAAGTTTTGTTTCCATCTCACACAAACCTTGAGGATGGACTAAACTAAACCCTAATGCACGTTAGCTCTCCCATTGCTCACTATGAATCTGTCCAAGAAGACAAAAAAGCTGAAATAGAAACAAACGGGGGAAACTAGAACAAGGTTCTGTTGGGTGTGTAGGAGGCAGTGTGATATAGTTATTTCCAAACAAAGCCTTTTGGATCCGCATGATTAGCAATTTCCACCGCCCCGTATGAGTCTGAGTCACACCCCGCTTGTCTCACTGAGGGGATTTTTACTGCAGAGTCACTCAGCCTGTGCTGTAGACACTCTGTTGTTGCTTGCCTGCCTCCGGGTTCCTATGAAGAGGTGAACAGCATGAATGAAAACCACTGCTAGTTGAGGATTCCCCTCCAAACCACAGCAAAAGCAGCTAATCATTTAGTTTCCTCTCCTGTTCCACTTACCTGCCCCAGAGATGGTGTATTTAAAACTATTGGCACGCCTTGAGAATATCTTTGTGTCATTTGTAAACGTAAAGTTTGTATGGAAAGGAAATGATTCTCAGTGTTTTTCTTTTACAAATTAAATAAAATAGGAGGGGAGGGCATCTCTATTCTATCTCTATTCTAACTGATTGAATACTTTATAGAACGGCTTTTTAGCTGCAGCTCTTGTGAAGCAAGTCTCAGATTTCTACAGTGTTAAATGTTTGCTTGTGATTTTGTTTTTCTTTATAAAATATTTCAGTCAGAATGGATGCCAAGCATCTGTCAGTTTTAAAACTTTAAAACCTCTTAGAAATTTGCAGTTGAATCCAGGTCTGGATTTTGACAGGGCCGTTCTCATACAGTTTCCACCTTATAGAGTCGTCTGCATGTAGGTCACTAGATTCAGCTGTGCTCTCCTCTGACTAGATGACTTTCTTCCAAATGTTGTCTCCTACTTACATTTTTTTAAACTGAAAATAGGACTTCTCATGGCTTTTGTCAACAGGTTCTTACTTCTTGCATCTCCTTTAAAATAGAGACATCTGAGGAGTCCATGCCTGTCAGCTGACTCTCCCATCTGAGCTGCCTCTAGTGGTAACATGATGTTGTGAAGATGGAAAAAAAAGCACTAAGACAGTAAGATATTACCACCCAGAGCCCAGACCGTTGCACTTTGTTTTTGTTTTGTTTTTTGTACATAGACAAAAACACTACATTTTGCTCTCATATGTCCACAGAACCTTTCTACACAACTGCTGCTGAAGAACCTTCAGAGGAACCATGGGAAAACCAACCAAGTATCAATCAACTGATCTCTGTGCTTTTTTACAGGCCAGGAAATGGCTTATAAACAAACGCTGCTTTGAATTTCACACACTTTTTTTTTTTGCTTTGCATGATAATATTTTTTCATTGGACTTTTGCAAAAAAAAAAAAAAAAAAAAACCTTTATACTGAGATTAAATCACACAAATAAGGACTCTAGCGTCTGGCAGCAATTGCTTGCTTTGGATTTTCTGTTAAGGATACAGTAGAAAAGGCATGGAAAGACAATTTATGACTTGATTTAATGTCAAGCATGATTTGTGCTATAAGTTTAACACATTTCAACATTAGAGCTTCATAAAGTTTAATGAAAGTGAAAAACAAATGTAGTGAAAACAGGACAAGAAATAACAGCTACAACCACTAGAGGGCGACAAAGTCATTTATTTACATCCAGAAACACAGCTGTACAGTAAAAGTTCTGTCAATTTACATTATAAATTAAAGGAGCTTCATTATTTTTGAAGCTGTGATGTAAGAGTGCAAACTTTAAATAAATAATCAATTTCTACTATTGGATTAGAACTATTACACCTACATCAAATGAAATATTTTAACGTTCATCCAAACAAGTGATCTTTGATTTCTTCACTGTAAAACCTGACAAGTTAACCTAACTCAAATGATTTGGGGAAACCGATTGCACCAATTGATTTAAGTTATGCAACTCAAATTGTTTTAGTGTTTTTAATCAATTAATTGGAGCCTAATGAACCCAACACAATTATAATAAGATAACTGAAATAAATGATGTTTATTTACTAATTTTATTTAGTATGAGTTGACTTAAACCATTTGATTTTCTTGTACCAAAATGCTGTATTTATTCATACTTGTTTTAAAAGTGTTCCTTGTTTTTGTTTAATCCTGATACTCTCTACCTTCATGTCCAAACTCTGCCCGACAAAACATTCGAGTGAAATGTCTAAATTGTGTTTTCTCCGCTCAGTCATCTGGTTCTGATTTCTCCTAAATCAGTAAACTGAGTTTCAGGCTTCTTTGGGCTTCTTTGATCACCAGTCATGATGTTCACATGTGAACAGCCCCAAAAAAAGTCAAACAACCTCTCTCTGCCCTCCTTCCTGCTTGTTAGGTGTTTACTTCGATCAGAGTCAATGGAATACCGAGTAGAAGTTTTCTGAGAACAAAACCAAAAATACACCCTAAACTAAATGATGGATATCTTCTGGATTCAATGCCAAATGTAATTCTCCTCTGAGTCGACCATTTACCAATCTGAGATTTCCATTACATCTAGCCAAAATGACCTTTTCAAAGTTTTAGCTTTCTTTTTTTTTCAAAAAAGAGTTGATTACTTGATCTGAGAGATGTTAAACATGTCAGACAAGGAACCTACTGCTGTGTTAAAGATAAATTTAAGTTCTTAGTTTTGACTGATTGCCTTTTCTACACACCTACTGCTCCATTAATATATTTAGTGTCATTTTCTGGTTTTTCCTGCAGACTTTACAATAGAGTCATGATAATTTCAAAACTCTGCTGACATTTACATCTTTTAATGTTATTTCATGGAGTCACTCTTATGTCTTAAAGGGAATCAGCCTCTAGATCAGAATCGTAATCTCACGCTGGAATAACCAGGTACGGAGCACATTTATGCACATGCAGAACGGCTCTGCTCAGACCCCCTGTGTTTTTTTTATTATTTTTATCGAATTACGTTTCGTCAGGCCACAGCAGTTAGGCCACTGTTCTGAATGGAGAAAACATCAGCTGGTTCCAGTTAACCAGAGTTGTGACTCTAATTATTCAACCTATTAACTCGGTAATGAGTTTCACATAACAGCATCAGGGTCTTGGAGCATCTGATCAAATTAACATGAATGCCTGTCATGGGTTTGGAGATGTTTCCCTCTGATTTCTGAAGTTTTCCCTTAGCTGTGCTCCGGTGATACAGTCACTGTTGTTTCAGGCTGACCTGTGCTCACTCTTATGTTTGCTGGGCATTATTCTCTACTCCTATAGCACAGATCCAATATAGATCAATAGCAATTTGCCCAAAATGGTGTAATTAAACATATGCAATTTGATATTTGTAATATTTTAAATAATAATGTTACATAAGAGTGAGCAGTTAAATATCTGTCTCGCATTGCTTTGAAATGTTATTTCAATTCAAAAATTGGAGAAAAGACTAATAATCGAATCTAATTTTACTAACAGACATAAAGAATGGAATATTCCTAAACTAATCACCCAGTATTTGATCCTGGGTGATTAGTCATCCAGTCGACATAATGTGTTTGCATGCTCTAAGAGTCAGAAATGTAAATTGAATTAGATATTTTTTATGGTGAATGTTGTTCAGTACATATTTAAAGTGATTTAATATCATGATTTCCTTTGAAGTAGCATTTTTTCATTTAATCTAAACTTAAAGTTGTGCAAAGATTATCTTTGCCCTCAAACATACAGAAAGTAATGATCTCAAAACATCAAAAGTGTTTTTTTGTCCATTGAATTAGGAAGCAAGGTGATCCTTTTCAGGTTTGAATTTCATTTGGAGAAGTTATATAGCCTACAGCAACCTACCAAAGTATTTAGACCCACCGGTTTTCCTTTCTTTCATGTTTGAACCATAAACTTCTGAATGTTTTCAACCATTTATACTGATAGAAATGGGAAAACTAAGATTACACATTTTCATCCAGCCTTCTTACTCTGATACTCCAGTTTAATTTAATTAAAATAACTATCTTAAAATCTAATACAGGTAATGCCGTTTTATTTCAGTAAGAAGACAATCCAAAGTGCTTAATAAAAGTAGCACAATAAATATAAGTGCGGAAGAAAAGGATGAACAAAAATAATTAAATAGATTATGTTTTATTTGAATAAAATAAATCAGTAAAACTTAAAAATGTATATATTTCTTTATCTTGAATTTTTTTAAATTCAAGGTTTCAGCCTTTCGGCAGTTCTCTGAGGCTTGGTTTGAGATGTAGTGAAGCATAAGAACTAATATATATAAAACATATAATATAATATATATAACTATATATGATTTTTTAACAATTTATTCGTATGATACAGCTGCAAATAAATGTTTGAACTGTCTATCAGCTAGAATTCTGACCCTCAAAGACCTGTTAGTCTGGCTTCAAAATGTCGACCTTCCCTCCATTTATTATCCTAAATTAGATGCACCTGTTTGAGGTCGTTAGGCACATAAAGCCCCCAGGTCACCCCATACAATCAGTGAGAATCAAACTACTAACATGGCCAAGATCAAAGCTGTCCAAAAAAACACTAGAGACAAAATTATACACCTCCACAAGCCTGGAAAGAGCTATAGGGAAATTGCCAAGCAGCTTGGAGAAAAAAGGAGCAATCATTAGAAAATGGAAGAAGC